TGTGGGGATTGAACCTGGTTCCCGCATCTGCCTGAGCAGGTGCTTTAATCCACTGAGCTATCTGGCCCACCCTCCCATAAAAGTATTTTTAGGTGTTCATAGAAACTTAATTTCTTGTATAAAACTTTAATGTTCATGAGTTTTATTGTTTGGAGTACATGATTACGTTCATCACGGGAACTGGTGCATGTACTGGACACATCTTCATTCTCCGTCTTCTTTCTCCTTCCCTCCATCTCTTGGTCCCCATCCCTTCTGTAGAAGATCTATATCCCAGCCCGGCATGCTGGTGCATGCCTGTAATGCCAAGAGGCTGAGGCAGGAAGATTGTTGTGAATTCAAGGCCAGCCTGGGCTATGTAAGTGACTTTAAAGCCAACCTGACCTACTCAGCAAGACCTTGGTTAAAACAAACAGGTGCTGGAGGTTTAGCTCAGTGGTGCAGCACTTTCCTGGCAAGCATGGGGTCCTGAGTTCTATTCCCAGTACTACCCCCTAAAAATCGGTGTCCCTGTTTCATGTTTTATTTTGCTTTTCATGTATATTTTGGTTTCTCAAGAATGTAAGCAAAAGAAAGATTATGTATTATTAATATAAGAATACAGAGTTGAGGATAGATCTGAGTGGTAGACTCTTTGCCCAGCATGCACGAAAAACCCCCAGAAGTGTTTGACCATCTCCCAAAGTAGGAGATGTCAGGACTCCAGTGGGATGGAATTAGGAACCAAGAAGGCTGCCGATCAATCTCTGCTGGCTCTCAGGAAAGACCACGCCTCTCAGCTCACCTGCTTGGGTTGCAGTAAAGGCTGGCTCACGGCTTCGTGCCCAAGGGTGCGGGCTGGTAAGCTGGCCCCAATCTGCAGCAGGAGCTCCTCTGACGGGGCGAGGTGTGTTTCCTGTCTGCCCCAGGTGCACTCACTGTGGCTGCGGCCCAGGCCCGTAGGGATCAGCTCTAGGATTGTGGCGAGAGCCCAGGCCCTGGGAGCGTGCAGCTGGCAGACGCTTCAAAGGGTTCACAGATGTAGGAGTTGGCAGATTAAAATCTGGCTTTTTTAAAGCATCCATGGGTTTTTTCCATATTGTCCCTGAAAGCGTAGTCTTCCCACCACCTTCTGTTGTATTATTTTCACCCAAAAGTCTAGGAATTAGTCAATGATTATCACCTAGTATTTTTTTTAAAAAATGAGAATATTTTAGATTTTTAATCAGATTTATTAATATTCCTCTTTGGTTTCTTCTAAGGCTTGTAAGCTTAGAGATTTTGTAAAGACTCAGTTTGATTTTTTTCCTAGTGGTTTTCCTCTTAATTATGTCTGTTCATTTAGCAAATGCTTAGCTTCTCTGTGTTCCAGGAACTGTCTGAGGAGCTGGAGACTCAGCAGCAGCCCCGCAGGCGCTGGTGCTCTTGTGGCTTCTATACAGATCTGTTTTGAGAGGGGTCTCGTTGTAGTGCCCGGCTGACCTTGGACACCTGTGTTCAGTCGATCTGCCTGCCTCAGCTTCCCAAATACCCGAGACTGCAGATGTGTGCCCCTGCACCCCGCTCTCTTGGGGCTTATATTTTGATTAGAGACTATAGACCGTGTGTGTGTGTGTGTGCGCGCGCGCGTGCACGCGTTCGTGTGCGTGTGTGCGTGTATACTACATGTACGAGTACAGAAAAATGATACAGGAGCAAAGGAGTTAGAAAGTGATGGCAGTGGAGTCACAGAGGACATAAGGGAAGGGCTCCCCAAAAATGACGTTGAACAAAGATCACACGGAGTGAGGGACTGAGTCCCAAGGTCCTGGCAGAAGAACATTCCTGGCAAGCAAGGGTGAGAGCACCTCTACCAGGAGTGCATGTCTGCCCCAGAAGGGGACAGTTGCCAGGTGCCCTGGGCAGGCCCCCTGGGGAGCGGGGACCGCGCAGAGGACAGAGGACAGGCAAGGTGTGGTGGAGGGTTTGGGCGGGAAGCTTGATGTGCCAGTGAGGTTGCTTAGCTTTATACCTTTTAGCGAGTCATCTTTTCTATTCTGCAATACTTTCTAATACCTTTTGGGGGGGCAGTGGGGAGGGAGGCTATTCTGGCCTCTGAACCCAGAACCTTTGCCCTCAGCTAAATCCCTACTCCTTTATATTTTTTGTTGTTGTGACAGGGTCCATTAAGGTGCCAGGTGGGACTTGAGCTTGTGTTCCTCCTGCCTCAGGTTCCCTCAGGGCTGAAGTGACAAGTGTGTACCACCACACGCCTGGTGTGCACCCTGCTTCTCACATGTTTTAAGATTTTTTTGTTGTTGTTCTTTATAATTGCCTTATCTTTGTCTTCTATCATCAGTATATAATTTTATTGATTGCTCTAGTATCTTTTTCCTTGTACTATTGTTTTTTAAAGATTATTCTTGATGTTCTTATGTGTTTCTTATAAATGGCATTTAACATAATCTTGCTATATTCCTGTTAAAAATATGGTTGGGATTCGAAATTACTTTCTGTGTAAGTCAATTTGAAAAGAAATGGTGTCTTCATATTGGGCATAGCTTTAAATATTGGCGTTAATTTTTTTTTTCTGTTGTGATTCATGAGAAATATTACACGTTTTAAAATGATGAATTATAGAGCTTGTGAAAATAGGAATGTGATTTCATTTAATTCAGAATGTGTCTCATTGTATCGTTGCTGTGTCCCAGCAGCTCAGACATGGAGTCCGGAAATGAGGCTATGCCCTCAAATTTCATCCACTTGGCAGGAGCTCAACATTTATTTTTGGTACTAGGGCAGATATCTGAAAGAAATCATATTATCCTCTTTCGTTTGGCCTAAAGGAATCGTTTCTCAAAAGCGCCCTATAGAGAGAACAATAACAGACTTGGCAGGTCTTTGTAAGATACCTTGTGTGTGAGGTAGAACAGATAGACTGACTGTTAATCTCTCAGTTAACCTTCTAAGAAGTTTTATTCTTGCTGAAGAAGTAGCATATCGTCAGCCCCAGCTTTATGCATCAGCAGCTCTACAGCAGTTCCTCCAAAGTAAATGTCAAACCCAGGCACTCCTCTCCGTGTTGACACTCTCTTAAGGACACTCTCAGCAGTGTTGTCTTCGGCCTGCTGGCTGCTGTTGCCTTGGGACTGGTCTCTGCGTTCCTGCTGCCCACATTGACAGGCTGTTTTCTACCCAGCAGCCAGAGACATTTTTAAAAAATTCTAGAAATTGTCAAACCTTAAAAAATGGAGTAGTATAATTTTTTGACATGAGCCTCACTCTCAAGAACTATCAAGACAGTCTGCTTTTATGTCTTCTAGCCTCCTGGATTATTTTGAAGCAGGTTTAGGTAGCATACCGTTTCATCTATAAATATTTCTGCAAAAAATAAAGGCTTCCCCAAAAAACAGCTCTGTGATAGTTGTACAGTCCTGGGCTGGCCAAATAGCTCAGTGGATTAAAGCACCTGCAAGCAGATGCAGGGGCCAGGGGTTCGATCTGCGGGCCTGCTGTGCTGGCCCCGCACCCGGGGCACACTGAGACAGAGACTTAGACTGGGTGTGGTGGCGCGCGCCTGTAATCCCAGCACTTGGGAGGCTGTAAACAGGCGAATCACTGAGAGTCCAGTCTAGTAGTGAGACCCTGAACACCCTGTAGACCCTTCCCTAAAATACAGAAAAGAAAAAAATCCTGTGTGAACATATTAAAAATTATTATATACTTCAAATCAGTGATTTTTATGGTATATGAAATTTTTTAGTACTTTAAAAATGAGTGACATATATATATTTGGTACAGGGTCTCACTACGCAGCTCGGACTTGTACTGATCCTCCTTTTTTCAGCCTTCCCACCAGTGGGATTACAGGCATGTGCCACCATGCTCAGACTCGGTCACTGGCTCAGGGGGCAGAATTGGGACCGGCGCAGCCTGTGGTGATGGGGATCAAACCCTGGTCCCTGTGCTTGCCTAAGTAGGTGCTTAGTGCACTGAGCTATCCCACCCACCCAAAAATGACTTTTAAAAAGGGCAATAGCATTATCCTGTTAATAGTATAACTTCTCAAAATCATGAGATAGCTGAAGTTGACATTTTCCCAGTTATCGTATATTTTTTGTTTTTAACACTTCGATAGAGGTTTGAGCATGTCAGATGATCTTACTCTTTTACTTAAAACCCTTCAGTGACTTTATGATGAAGTCCGGCCCGTAGCGCCTTCTTTGTCCTGTTAGGCTTCGTCTTTTGCACAATAGCTCACCATGTGTCAGGACCTAGTCCCTCTGCTGGATGCCCTTCCCTCTGCTTCCACAAGGCTGCATCCTCCTTTTCAGTCCATGCGTCCTTCCTCCCGAAGGCCTTCCCACTGTAGCCCCTCAACTTCTGCTCTGAGATTGTATCCCGGTCTTTCTGTCAGGGCTTGCAATTGAACAATCTCGACATGCCATGGTTCTTTATCTAATATGTAATCATTTATTTACGTCTTTCCCTTCTTTCTGTGATCCCCTAGCCCCAGCTTCTTTTCTGTCTTGTCCACTACCACATCTCTAGGGCCTCAAATAGTGCTTGGCATGTAGTGGATTCTGCTAAGGGGAGAGGTGTACAGACATCTGCCCTTACATACCAGGTGCTTGGAATTAACAAAAAGGTTAATTAACTGTGCGGTAATACACTTATATAGGTTTAAATAAATTAACTGTAAAATAATCAACTTGCATGGTTTTGAACTATAAAGTCCGGTAGGTAGTTAGAGTAGCCATAGGACACTAAAAAAAGGAAACTAACACAAGTGAGTTAATGCCAAACGTGCGACTGACCACTCAGTCTGTGCAGAGAGTTCTGAAGTTAAGCTGGTTTCCCGGCTCAACGGTAGCTACCAAGAAAGCCATACAGAATTAAAACAGAACTGGAAACTGCTGGTAGTTTGGTTATTTTTAAGGGCAAAGGTGTGAGGAGACAGTGCTTACCGCGTGCTCCAGCTGCAGCACCATGCTGCAGCCCAGACAAGCTTGGGGCGGTCTCTCCCCTTGTGTCTTGTACAGGTCAGAAGCCTCTTGACCTTGCCCAGAGTGCAGAGATGAAGCGCGTCCTTGTTGGGGATAAGGTGCGTAGCAATGACTTAGCTCTGTGCAATGGCTTTTAAATGTTTAAAGCACACTGGTACTTTTGTAATGAAACACATTTTCAACAGGTCACCTACAAAGCATTGAAACGGTATGAAGGACCTCTCTGGAAGGTGAGTTGGGATGGTTTTTTAAATTATAAAATTCTGAAGAATTCTCAGATGTTCTGTTTCTGCTAAAGACATTTTCTAGTATTTCTCTTGCGCACCTGGGTCCCTCACTTATGATGGTTTGATTTACCTTTTTTTAACTTTACAGTGGCATGCAAAGAAAATGTATTCAATAAATTGTACTTAGAATTTTGAATTTTTTTTTTTTTTGTATTGGTTTGATTTACCTTTTTTTAACTTTACAGTGGCATGCAAAGAAAATGTATTCAATAAATTGTACTTAGAATTTTGAATTTTTTTTTTTTTTCTGTATTTAGGACAGGGTCTACAGGGTCTACACACTCTCACTACACAGATTGCACTCATAGTGATCCTCCTGTTTTCAGCCTCCCACACGCTGGGATTTCAGGTGCGCACCACCATGCCCAGTCTGCATCGCTGTCTTAGCACGCCCCGCAGGTGGGACCAGCACGGCACACCAGGGATCGAACCCTGGCCGCTGTGCTCTACCTAAGCAGGCGTGTTAGTCTGCAGGGCTATCAGGCTGTCCCAGAAGTTTGAATTTTGATCTTTTCTTGGGCAGTGGTAGCAAGCTGTGACCCCAGTCACCCATGTGATTGCAGGTGGAACGACCAAAACTGTATAGGGTACTGTATTGCTGGTGTGTTTTGGAGGCTGTGCTTTGTATTTTTCGTGTTGTGTTGGTAGTCTTGTGCATGCTAGGGAAGCACCGTCCTCCTGCGCGCCGCACCCAGCCAGTTTTGTCTTCGCACCTCACTGTGGCTTCAGACCGCCCACCTATGCAGTACGTGAGCTGTTTAACACTTTGTCATGAACTAGGCCATTTCTGTGAGATGACTTACCCACTGGTAGGCAAGTGGAAGTATTTTGAGCACAGTTAAGGTGGACTTAGATAAGCCATGATGTGGGGTTAGTTAGGTGGGCTAAATGTGCTTTGTTTTCCTCCAGTGCTAGGTTTAGAACCCAGAACCTCAGCCATGTAGGCAGGGGATCTAGCACTGAGCCACATTTCCAGCCCTTAAGTGCATTTTTGATGTAATAATATTTCCAACTCATAATATATTTACTGAAACACAGCACTATCATAAGTTGGGGAATATCTGTATATGTGATTTAATCATTCTTGGATCTTAAAATGTAAACCATTGGATACTGCTAGACATAAGAGGCTTCCCCTGGTTATATCAATCACTATTTTGTTGTTGACGATGATACTCCAATACTTTTAGGTGACAAATTTTTACCAAAAGTAGAGAAAGACACGTTTTTTTCCCCTCACTAAATCGTGACTATAATATTTGTGTTTCAGGCATCAAACCATTAAAGACTTAGGAGAAAATTAGTATTTGAGTCATCCCAGGTTGCACATGTAAAATTCCTTTGGCTCTAAAAGTTTGTTTTGGAATTCTGTTATTTTCTAGAATTAACTGTGGTAAAGTTCATAAATTATTTTGCACTTGCAATCAATCCCTCTATATTGTATATTTATATTATATACAATAAATTTAGGGTAAGTTTTTAATTTTTAGATATTCATTTTTGCTTTTAAGGAAATTATCATTGAAGCCCATAGCCAGTATATTTTCTATAAATATTCCAGAGCAGTACTGTCAGAATCATAAGCTATATTCGTTATTGATTTTATCAGTTCAGCATTTATTCAGTTCCTGTAGTGAGTGGTATGTTTCCATTACTGCACTTGGTACCTAAGTTCCCGCTTGATCATGTTTTTAATGTTTGATACTATTCTGTAGAGGGAGGATTCCAGTATAACTGTCAGAACAATAATTTATTGCTTTTTATCATTCAAGTATCTGAGTGTAAATGTGTCAGACCGGGAAATCTTTGTCATTCTTCCTTTTAGAGTTCAAGATTTTTTGGCTGGAGATTATGTTGGGTAGTATTAGAACATGGAGTCCTTTCATGGTATAGGAAACAGTAAGTAGCCTTAGATTTATTAAATTTCAGTATGCAAATTTGAAAGGCTAAAATTTTCACTTAGCTCATTTCCTTTGGCCTTGATAATTTCGTGTTTGTTTTGCAGGCCTGATGCAGTCCAGAATGTTTATCGCCAGGGATGCAAACACCTGACTCAAGCGGTGTGCACGGTAAGATGAAACGGAAGAGTGAAGTCAGGTCTGCAAACTGGGCCCCGAAGTTACGTGTAAAATCACGCGATTCTGTAGGTGTAGAGAACCCTTGTGTATACTTACATTTGTGAACAAGTGTAACTGCGGGATCTGTCCTGAAACACATATTACACATAGTGTTTGTCTCTGTATATTGTGGGGTGAGAAATGGATTATCCAGGACACTTACACAAAGCTTTTAACATTTGGTGTGTGTCTTTGTACATGGGTAAATCGGGATAATGGACATTTTTCTGAGGTTAAAATAAAATTTAAAGCCTTTGTGAAAATCAAGAGCTTTAAATTCTCCAGATCCACTATTATTTTTACCAGCCCAGAGGAAGGACGGGTTTTCTCTCTACAGGACCGCTCAGAGGCGGTGCCCAGAGGTGCTTGTTTAGGTTCTGGCTTGGGGTCGGCCAGTGTGGTCAGTGTTCGCGGTCGGCCTGCCCTTTGCACATACAGCCTGCTTTTCTCCACGTGAGCACTGGAGACCCGTTGTACTCCTTTGAGGTGGAGCTCTTACCTGTACTAGCAGCCCAGTGCACCCTGAGACGCGGGCTGGCCCCTTCCCCAGCCTCAAACCCTTCCTCCTCTCAGGGTAGGCCAGCAGGCTGGAGATGTACTCACCCGTCTGATCTGTCCATTGGAACAAACCTGCATGCTCTGGTCTTCCTGCTTTTCGTTCATCTGCTCAGCCGGCTGCTTTTCTTATTCTCGTCTTCCGTAAAAGAGTGAACAAGTTCCCTTTCTTGGTCTTCTGCTTCTGTGGAATTGACTAGGTCCTAGCATATTATGCCTTGCCTAGTTTTATAAGTTTTAATTTTTTTTTTTTTTTTTTTTTTTTTGTATTTTAGGGAAGGGTCTACAGGGTGTTCAAGGTCTCACTACTAGATCAGACTTGTAGTGATTCTCCTGTTTACAGCCTCCCAAGAGCTGGGATTATAGGCAGGTGCCACCACGCCCAGTCTCAGTCTGTCTCAGTGTGCCCTGGGGCAGGGCTGGCACAGCGAGCCTGGGGATTGAACCCCCGGCCCCTGTGCCTGCTTGCAGATGCTTTAATCCCCTGAGATATTTGGCCGGCCCTGTAAGTTTTAATTTCTTATTTAATCGTCTCATTGAAGTCTGTATCTGTGAGCCACATGTCAGTGCAAGCTAATAGACATTGACTCCTATAAAGCAGGTTCTGTTCACATTTTCTTCTCTTTCTACTTTTCAAAAATTAATGTGTATTCTACAAATTAATGGGGTTCATTCTGGCAGATTTGTATACACACATAGTGTATTCCCCACATCCTTCCTTCTTAAGGGACAAGCTTACCTCAAGGCCGTTTTTATTATGCAAGTGTTTATAGCTGTACATTTTAAAAATTGTGGTAAGATACGTATGACGTAGAGATCACCACCTTTGCCATAGTCCCTTCTTACGTTGTTGAGCTCTGTCAACATCCATCCGGGAAATGCTTTCAGTTGGCCAAGTTGGTACCGTACCCGTTAAACAGCAGTTCTTTATAGCCGCCTCCCCCAACACTGAGACCTCCGTTCTGGTCTGTGTTCCTCTGAACCTCACTACGCTGGATACCTCACTTCAGTGGAGACATGGTTACTTCATTTTGAATAGTGACCTCAAGAGTCACCCAACTTGTAGCTTATGTTCAATTTTTTTTTTTTTTTACTTTAAAGCATTTTAATTGTGGCAAAAACATATTATTTACCATCTTATCTATTTTGAGTGTACATTCAGTCACTTTAACTAGATTTACTTTGTTGCGAAACACATCCAGAAGCCCTGCGCCCTGCGCCTTTCAAAGCTGGAGCTCTGTCTGTACTCGCAGCTCCATGTCTGCCTCTAGCCCCGACAAGCACCATCTCCTTTCCTTCCTGGAGCTTGCTTGCTACAACACTGGTCTTTCTTACCACCTTAGACACCTCCTGAGTAGACTCAGACAGTGTGTCTGGTGCCTGGCTTCTTTTATTGTAACTTGCACTTGTCCCATTCCTGGCTCTTATTTTTTCCCCAGAGGATATTTGTTGTTGCCTGGGGTAGTTTTCTCATTCTCATTCCGGTGTAGCTCTGTTCCCATACACCCCTGTACCCCTGTGCTAGGGGTTAAGCTCCGGGCCTTCTCATTAGCTGTGTGCTCAGTGCTTTAGAATTTTTTATGTTGAGACAAGGACTCACGAACTTGCCCAGGTTGGGCTCCCGCTTGCAGTCCTCCGGAGCCAGCCTCACAGAGCACGGGGATTGTGGGGGTGAGCACCATGCCTCACTCCCCCCCCCCCCATGTACTGTCCCTGTCCTAGACATTGCAGCCTGTGTGTTACCCTGCCTTGCAATTACCTATAACCGTACACTCTGTTTCTTCTCTGATGTCACTTTCTTTTAGCCCCAAACACTTCCTTTACACTTTCTTGCAACATACGTGCCTGTTCCTGGTGAATTTTGTTTTTGCTTATTAGGAGACATCTTTGTCTTCATTTTAAAACAGTAATTCTTGGAAGATGGAAACATTCTTTCAGCACTTGGAACCTGTCATCCTCCGGCCTCTGGTCTTCTGGGTTTCTGATGCAAATTCAGCTGCTCCTGTCATTAATGAGCCATTTTTCTACTGTTGTTTTTAAATTCCTTCCTTTTTGCCCTTCAGTGTTTCAACTATAATTTTTCTAGATAAAGATCTCTGGATTTATCATGCTTAAAACTTAGTCTGTTTCTCAAAAATGTAGATTATTATTTTTTTTTTTTTTTAACAAACTTGGAGTGTTTTCAGTCGTTATTGCTTTAAACACATTTTCAGCTTCTTTTTAATGCCCTACAAATTTCTGAGGCTGTGTTTTCTTTTTAAATTCCTTTTCTTTCCTTTCTTCCTTTCAAATTGTTATATCTTCACATCGTATCATTCTTTTTCTGCCACTGCAAACCTGTTTGAGTGCTACTTGGTGAATTACTTATTTCAACTTTGGTAATTTTCAATGTCAGAATTTCCATTTGGTGGTTTTTTATAACTTGTTTCCATTGGTGCTTTGTGTTTGATGACTTAATATATTTTTATTTTTGGTACCGGGGATTGAACTCAGGACTTTGCACTTGCCAAGCAAGCGTTTATGTCTCTGCGCTATCTCGCCAGCCCTTTTATATATTTCTAAAAAATTTTTTGACATGTTTTCCTTTAGTTTTAAACACATTTGAAATTTCTGGCCCTTGACTCCTGTGAGGATGACAGTGCACAGTGTACTTAATGTTGCTACTCTTCTGCAAACTTGTTTTGAAATTTTATACCATTGTTTCTATTGTTTATTTTTCTTCTCTTTAAAAAATTTATTGTTTGGTTACTTGCCCCAAATAGTGCAGTATCTGGGCCACGTGTGCTGTGATGCTGACCTTCTCTGATTATTTGCTGCTGAGATTGCTCCTGTTTGTGACAGTGTTCTCGGCGTGAAATTTTCATTGCTGTGCTCTAAATAAATTTAGCCCTAAAGTTTAGGGCCTGCCCTATATTGTGCAGCTTTCCATAAAGTCAGGGAGAAGAGACTAAGCAATCTCACACTAAAACTCCACCAATGTCTACTGTTTTTACTGAAGTTTTTTTTTTAATAAGCACTTCCATTTTTTAAAATATGTCTTTGATCAGTCTTTAGCATCCTGGAATACTCATTTTGATTTATATTATGTTGAATTTATAGATCTACTGGGGGCACATGCTTTGCTGTCTCAGTAAAATTGAAAAACCTAACCTGTGAATACTGCATTTTTCCATAGACTGAAATCTTTTATTTCCTACTATTTTATAATTTGTTAAATTTATTACACATTTATTCTTGAAGGTATTAGAAAGATTGAGATAGTGTAGTATCTCATCTTCTAATTTTTTTTTTTAAAAGTATTTAGTACAGGGTCTACAGGGTTTCACTGCACAGATTGGACTCATAGTGATCCTCCTGTTTTCAGCCTCCCAAGCACTGGGATTACAGGCACATGCCACCATGCCTAGTCTCATTTGCCATCTTAGCACACCACGGGGGACAGGGCTGGCACAGCATGCTGGAGATTAAACCCCAGTCCCTTCTTCTGCCTAAACAGGTGCTTCAGTCTGCTGAACTGTCTGGCCAGCCCTCACCTTCTAATTATTTTGCAGTCATTATATATCATTTTCAATATTTAGTGAATGCTTTACTTTTTTTTTTCCATTGTGACCTTTTATTCCAAAGCATATTTGATCAGATTCGATAATGTTTTTGAATAAGTAAGGTGTCTTATTTATTTATTCCATGAAGCACTCATTAATTTTTCTCCAACAGGGTAATGTCATAGTCTGAGAGTCTTAATCTGATTTCCCGGAGATAAAATTGAACATTACAGGGGCTGTCAAGCAAATTGCTTTCTTTTATTTTTTTAATTTTTAATTAATTTATTTTTTATTAATTTTAATAAGAAATCACAATGACACATTTCAAAACAGGTTAGTAGACAGTTACAATAATTAGTACATTGCATATTGTTGTCTTTGTAGTAGTTATTCAGAGTATAAGATACAGACATGGTATCTTGTCTAAACACTATTACTACAAATCTTTATTCTCATTGAACTAAGAGAAAGTAGCTATATATCTATCCTAACTATTTTGTATATACAGATACAAAGTGGTCCTTCATTTGTATCCCTTTTTTTTTGTTTAGTTTTGTCAGAGAAGGGTGTTCCATTGCCATTTAAATATTGTAGGTGCATGAATGCAGCAAAATAATCCAGTATAGTCCAGCAGTCCATAATAGTGGTGGGTTATCCACTGAACTGGCAGTGTCAGAAGTTGTTGACTTGAGCCTTTCACAGCTCAGCATATTAATATGGCTTTACTTTTCATACCTCATTTTTATACTTTTCCTTCTGGATGGTTAAGACCAAGTTAAAGCAAGACCTATATAACTAAAAATATAACTTTTGTATCTGACAAGGTCGGCCAAATCCCCTCAGGATTTATCCAGAAACCATGTACAGCAGTTTGTAGATCCTTTGTCAGTATCAGCCACGTGGATGAGTCACGGCAATTGCTTGACCAATTTGCTCTCCATGAAAGCCTGAGAGAATGTTTTCTCTCTAGGTGATTCTCCTTAGGCACACTATACATTGTCGATCACTTTCCTCTGTGTCCCCATAATCTCCTTGAACAGAAAATTTGAGACACCACTGAGTTATAGGATGTCACAGCAGAGATTTTCTTATGTCCAGAGTCCTCACAGACCTTGAAGGGCTAGGACCAAAATATTGGCTATCCTTGTAGCCGTTCTTTTTGTCTAATTTTTGGTCTGCGTACTTCAGTTGTAAACCATCTAAAAGAGAAACTTAATGATATTATTACCCTATAACAGACAGTTGAGCTCAACATCACTGTCTGTCTGAATATCAAATGCCTTAGATATCATGGAACAGGTATTTTCCAACAGTCGTTGATATTCTAAACTTTAAATCCCTATAGAATGTGAATAAACAATTTCACATTTTACACAGAAATCGAATGCCTTATTATCTTGCTAAATTCATTGACAACTTTTGCTATTCTGTAGATTTCTCAGACTCTTCTATACATACAGTCATACTGTGGGCAAATAAGTATTGCAGTGTTTCTTTTCTGTGTGTTGTTTCATTCTCATCCTTGCTTTGTTATTATTGGACATGACCTCCAGTACAACTTCAATATAATTAATGAGTCGATATTTTCATGTTTTTGGGTTTGTTTGTTTTTTTAATGTATTTGGTATAGAGTCTCAGTACAGAACTCAGACTTGTAGTGTTCCTCCTGTTTTCAGCCTCTCTAGTACTGCGATAATAGGTGTGTGTCACCATACCTGGTCTCAGTGGCGGACTCAGCATGCCCAGCGGCAGGGCCGGTGCTGGTGCAGGGGACCTAACCCCGCCCGTGCACTTGCCCAAGCAGGTGCTTAGTCAGCTGAGCTATCTTGCTGGCTGTTAATATTTTAGTTTTGTTTGCCACATTAAGTATGAACCATTAAAGCATTTAGCCTTTTACCACTGAGCTGTTTGCCATAGGCTGACTGTATTTGCCCTTAAACTAATTGAAGAAGATTTTTTCATTTGCGACTTTATTGAGCACTTGCATCATGAAAACATGTTGAATTTTGTTAAAATCCTTTTGGAGATGTGTTTTGATATCTTCTTTGTGAAGTGATTCTGGGTTATATCCTTCCTTTTATCAATGTTAAGTTCTAGAGATCCTGGATTCTGTTGTGTTTCTTTGTTAAATGTTTTCCTTTGTTTTAGCAAGACATTTTCTTGGCTTGGCTTGGTTGTAAACTCTGTCTCAGGAAGTTGATCTGGGCTCGTCTGAGATTGAGTGTGGTCGGTGTGAGCTCCCTTGAGTCTTCCCTGTGCATGTCCAGTCACCTTGTGATATACCGCTCATGCTCCTCCACCCAGGCCAGGGTCTTCCACAGCTCTTCTCTTGATTTTCTCCCAGAGAACTGGGCTTCTCAGCAGCCTGTGAAGTGCTGCTCGCTTTCCTTCTCCTTGGTGTGCTGAATTTTCTTCTAAGGGGAGGAGGTATAGGGGCAGACGAAATAGTTATGAATTTGCTTTCTGCAGGGGGCAACCTCTGGTAGAGACTTGGAGTGGAAGTCTACCCTTTTCCATTCTTAAATCCTCTCCCTTTCCAATTGTTTTATTTAAAAATTATTTCTTATTCTTTTTCCTCCCTGTCTTTATTAACTTTATCTGCTACTCATTCATTTGCTCCAAGCTAAATCATTTTCTACAATGAACACAAACAAATGTAAGAAAAGGGTGGTACAAAGAAGGTATTGTAGCTGTCGCTTTTTAAAAGGGTTTTAGAGTTCAACTGCATACTGTTATATTTAATAGAATATATAGAACTAAAGCTACATTCTAAGTGAACTACTAATATTCATTTTCAGTAAGAATATGAAAGGCAAACTTGACATAGGTAATCTGTGGTGTATTTTATACTAACATTGCATCATTTTTCCCTGATTTTATCACTTTAAATTTTACAAATAGGTAATATTAGGATCTTTTTTCTAAGTGAATATTGTCTTACTAATTTTTTTTTTTTTTTTTTGTCTAAGGTGAAGTCCAGTGATAGCTGCCTCTTCTTTATTAAATGCTTTGATGACACCATTCATGGCTTCAGGGTTCCTAAAAATAGCCTTCAACAATCACGGGAGGTAATTGTCTGGACTCATTTATCTTTCATAAAAACTAAAGGATATTTAAAGGCGTAAATATAACAGGTTCAGTATTAATATTTATTCTAAATCTTGTTGATTATACCATTTTTGTGGAAACAGTTCTATGAAGCATTTAAAATTTGACTTATTCTTTCTCAATAAGTACTTGCAGGTGTTTTCTGTCCATAATTTGTTTTCATTTTTGTTCTTTGAATGTGGGGGACCCTATTGCCTTTGGAAATAAAGGCTAAATGATAAATCAGTCTATGTTATAGGATGGAAATGCTTTCCGAGGTCTGGCAGTTTCCAGGTCACAGAGCCTAGGCTATAATCCAGCAGTTCTGCTGCTTCCGGTAGTGTAGTCTGAGTCTGCTTTTGTGACTAGATGGAAACTCAGCAGCAAGAAAGAAACTTGAGATTCGTTTGATCAAAATTCGTGGTATGGTGGTTTAGTGGAAAACCTATATTCCTTCACCTCAGAGCAGTATTCATAGCCCAGCTGACCAGCCGACTGGCAAACCTTCCTTTCTTTTTCTTTTGTCTGTCTCTCTGTCTGCTTTGCTGTCTGTCTGTCTATCTGTGTATCTGTCTGTCTCTGCCTGCCTGCCTGTTTGGGTGTGTGTCTGTCTTAGTTTCTCATCTTCTCACATCACTTCTTTCTTATAAATTCTCTCAGGGTGAAAACAGTCTGTTTTCCACACTCGTAAACTTTGGCTCTGCAAAGAACCCTGAACAGTCCAACCGGGGAGCATCCTAACACTTCATAAGATGTTTAGATTTGACCCTGACTAATGTTGTAAGAACACAAGGAAAGAAGTAAGACAAGTATTATGCTTTTGAGGAAAAAACCATTCCGTGAAATCAAAAAAAAGTTAACGCACCAGCCAGTTGTTAGCTCTTTTGAAAGTGGCCTCAGCTTCTTGTGCTTCTCATTTAAAGCAAAATGGCAAAAATGTCTTTCATTACTGTGTAATAACTTTTTCAGCAATGTGAAAAACCGGCAATTTAAAGGAAAAACTTTTCTTTCCCAAATTCTGGTAAATCATTTGGCTATGAACAAATATGTGAGCTTACAAATGGTACTTTAAAAAGTACTGGGAAAATTTTTTAGTTAAGAGATGTCACAGACAAGAGACCCTATCATTATTGTATTATAGTTGTTGGGTATTTGTTGGTTGCTTTGGTTTGGTTGAGACAGGGTCTTGCTGTGTAGCCCAGGCTGGCCTTAGGCTCACAGTGGTTCTCCTGCTGCAGTCTCCCAAGTGCTGGGGTTACAGGCGTGCTACGCCTTACCTGGCAGTTTTGCTTGGGGTGGGGGATAATATTTATTTCCTTTATGTACATGTTATGCTTTATGGATCATTTTCACATTGTCTGTTTGTAGTAAAAATGCTTGTAACTTTTATTCAAATACTTGGGTTGACTCAGAACTGGCTGGAAGCAATCGAAGAACATTCTGCGTACAGTACCCACTACTGTTCCCAGGAGCAGGTGACTGAGGACGAAGAGGAAGATGGATTGTCTGCTGTAGAGCTGAAGGAATCCTTGCAGGTCAGTAGAACATAACCTGGTCTTTATCTCTAGCTCAGTCTTGTAGATTTTAATCTAGAATTTCTTGTTAAGAGATGAGGTTTTGAAATTATGATTTCTGACAACAATGCCATAGTATTGCGTTTTGCAGGCAGGGATGGGGGTTGGAATTGAACTTAGGACCTTGCACTTGTCAGGCAGGTGCTGTGCCACTGAGCTGTATCTCCACCCAGTACTGCTCTTCCTATCCTTGCATTCTCTTAGATGTCTCTCTTCTGGCAGTACTGTAAAAGGTCTCTGTAGATGGGCTCTAAGGATCTGGACCAGTGCCTGTGTCTGTGGTTTCCTGGTGACGTGGCTGAAGCAGTTGTCCTTCTATTTGGAAACTGTTGCCAGCAGGGGGAGCAGGCATAGCTTGACTTCTGCCCTTTATGACTTCATCGCACCTTTCAGAATTTAAATAATGCAACCATGGTGACACATGCCCTGGCCAGTAGTTTTGCTTGAAATCATTGTAAGAATCTGTGCTTCTATGGCTTAGAGGCAGTGTCAATGATGAAAGGAGAGGCCTGGGTCTGAGGTGACATCGATGTTGTATCAAAGAATATTGGCGTACGTAATCGATGGGAAACGGGTACCTTTTCTTTGGGTGGGAAAGCATCAGTTTCTGGTTACTGCTTTGAAATTCACTCTATTAGAGAATAGAAATTGCATTTGGAAAGTACAACTACAAATGATGGCTTTCAACTTGAATAATTATGTCGGAGCATATGGATTGGTGTGGGATGTAAATGTTTCTAAGTCAGCTCTCCTACTGCCTTCAGAGTTCAACTGACTGGAGACTCCTATGAATGAACTTTAAAATAGTAATAGGTACTAGATCTAGAATACTGTTAAAGCTGGGAAAATAAGATGGCTTAGATAAGGCCAAAATCATTTTAAACAAGTAAAACTGTGTTAAACACTTTAAAATTTAAATGAAAAGAAACGCTTCCCTTTTAATCTTCCCCTCATATGAAGTGAGTGATAACCCTAAAAAGATTTACAAAGCATGCCAGTATATTTTCCAGGATTATGTGGTAATTTTAGGACCTTTTGAATGAAAGCAACAGGCAAAATAAGGATGAGAACTTGTTCTTATATGCTGTTTATCTTTTTATGTTAAACACCATGCCACCCTCATCAGTTGTCGTTCATGCTAGCTTGCGTACTATTCAACTTCCTGAAAGGAAAATTTCTTGTTTTGCATTATTTTCAAATTTTCAGTTCGGTCACCAGTCTCAACCATACCTTGTGCTTTATTCCTTCTCTGACTGTGTGTTCAAATGTTCACTTTAAAACCATGAAGTTGTTGCCTGCTACTATTTATAATGTGTGAGGTGAGTGAATGTCTTAGCCAGTACTAAGTGCTTCCACGTTTCGCAAGCCATAGAGCGCCATGTCCAACATCCTCTGAGCGGAACCTCTGAGTCCTCCTCCTGCCTCAGCATCTGCAGGCTGGTTCAAAATAGGTAAAATCGGAAAAAAGCTTTGAAGTATGGTAAATTATACTTTCTGGTAGGCTGGCTCCAGATGTCCTTGATGCTTGAGTTAAATTACAAGGAAACATAGGGCCTCGTTTGTGAAGCCTGTCTATTCTTGGGTTTTGTGGAGATTCCAAATAAATCAGGTACTGTAGAATTAATACACTCTGTAATCATCTGAATTAACTAAAAAATTGATTTCACTTCCTCAGTATACCTTTGGATTAGTAAGTAGACTTACAAGAAATTAGGAGAAAAGTGAGCATATTTTATGATATTTTTAGCCTCAGCTCACCCCCTCCAACAAACTGTGGCCCTCTTAAAACTTAAAACAAAGTTTTTTGAGATCTCTTACTGCCTTCAGGTAGTTGTCCAGGGAGAAAAATAGAAGACAGGCCATGGAAACACTAGCTTCCTGGTGCTGCCTTAAGGGCATCTTGAAAGTGTTCTACACACACAAAAATGGCAAAGTTAAGCCTAGTATTTGTAGTAAAACTGCAGTGCCCAGTACAAATGCTCGTAACCACTCATGGCTGTTGACAAGTCAATTGGTTGAATGAAAGATTCAGTCCTTTACTTTAACAAGCAGTGTTTCCAGTGCTGAGTGGCACATGTGAAATTCACATCAGACCCGCAGATAGGCGGGGTCTTTTGTCGTGGGCAATGTCCCAAACAGCACAGGGAGACTCTCTTTGATATTTGGGATGACACTGACAAAGTGGGAGTTGTGTTTGGTGAAGATACTGTGATTCTGTAGCAGTGACAGTGAACCTTTTAGAGGCCGATGGCCCAAACTGCAACCCCAGACCCATCTAGTTATCGCAGAGTGCCAACTCGGCAGTTAAGCCGGAATGGTTGGCTGCTGGGGATGACTTGGCTCTGCTTGCCCGTGGTGCCGCGTGTGCCATTAGTGTTCTGTAGGACCTGAACTGCGTTTCTGTCGTATGAAATGAGTAATAATGCGGTAATTTATGCTAAATTAGAGAAAAAATGTTGGCTTTATAACTGGAAAGTAAACTGAAAATGATAAAACTTTCTTTAAGACTTAAGTTAGTCAAGTTGGGGAGATAGCTCAGCAGTCTAAGCACCTGCCTGGGAAGCGCAAGGACCCAGGTTCGATCCCTGGTACCACATGTCCATGCCAGCCTTAGAACCCTGAGCACACCGTACTGAAACTGGACGGATATGGTGGTGCACACATGAAATCCCAGCACTGTGGAGGCTGATACGGGAGGATCACTATGAGTCTGAACTGCATAGCAAGTCCCTCTCTGTCTGTCTGTCTGTCTGTCTCTGTCTCTGTCTCTGTCTCTCTCTCTCTCTCTCTCTCTCTCTCTCTCTCTCACGTTAGACACACACGACTAAGTCACTGCAGTGAACACATGGAAAGCTGCAAATGCCTCTGTATGGGACTTACAAGGGAGCGGTCCTTCTGTGTGAGGGTGAGGCTGGCAGACACGTTGGTATATTTAAGACAGATGAAGTGCAAAGGGCGAGGTATCAAATGGGGCAGCAAATATGCTGCAACTGGAAAAAAAGAAAACCAGGTACACAGACATATTTGTGTCAGCCTAGATATTCCCTAGTAGGATGCGGAAGTAGCAGGTGTAGCTTTGGGGTGAGAAGTGTGGCGAGACGGGGCTTCAGGACACCAGTCTGCGATGTGAAGAAGCCCTTTGCCTCTGGATTTTTATCTTTGTGTATCTACCTACTGCAAAACCAGACATTAGACGGTTATATAGCAGGGCCACAGTAAAATGCTGGAGTAGAATATATGAGCTCTGGCTTAGCTTAGAGCACAGGAAGGCGGAGAAGGAAGCCAACCTTGAAGGGGACTTGGCTAGAGGTCAGAAGGCAGTGGGAGAAATCGTAGGCGCTGCTGCTTGCAATATGACTGCTTTGTGCAGAGAGGAAACTTACTGGGATTGCACATGCTGTGGTTCTGAACTTTCAAGTAATGTTTTTGAGGTATAATTTTTATACAGTAAAATAAATTCATTTTATGTCTTTAATGTGTTTTGACAAGTATATACACTGTAACCACCACTCCTGTCAAGATGTTGATTTTAAAGTCTTTTTTTCTTTGTTTGCTTCTTGGGACAATCATTCGGTATAGTTCAGGCTGATCTTGAACTCACTGAGTAGCCCAGGCTGGCCTCAAACTGGTAGTAATCTCCCCACCTCAGCCTCACTCAGTTTCCCTAGTGCTGGGATTACAGGCATCACCACCAGTCCCAGCATCTCAAGATTTAGAAAGAACATTTTTGTCGCCTCAGAAAACTCCCTTGGTCCTACTTCTGGACAGTGACCTGGGAACTTTAAATGGCCCATGGTAGGATTCATTTTCTCTTACCCCGTCCACTGCTTGCGTGCTTCCTATGTGACTGATATACATTTTTGAACTGCCCTGTGGGTCAGGACGAGATAGTTTAATATCAACTTAAGTCAAACAAAATGACAGTGACAGTCTGTGTGGACTGAAGTGGTGACAGGAGACCTGAGTTGCCTGTGCGGCTCTCCTGCTCACCGGTGTGGCCTTCCTGTCCCCTGGGCCTCTATCACGGTAGGACCCTTGGTCTGTGTGCTTTGCCCAGGAGCCTGGAGGAGGTTTAAGTTCTGTCAGACTTGAGCGTGAGGCCATTGCTCTGGATGGAGTTCCGTTTACTGTATACAGTTAAAGAAATAAAAAGTAACAAAGAGTCCCTGATGCAGTGTGGCCTGGCAAGAGGTCAGGACCGAGACACCATGGCGGACTCTGCAAGATTTCATAAGCATTGACATTGCTAAGTAGCTGTTCAGGCTTTCCTGGCGTGACCAGTAACCACCAAGGAAGGTCACAGCAAGCGAGCGAAGGTGCTGTGTTGCATTGTATTCATTACCCTTGTCTGTATTATATTAGTAAAATGATGCTAAATTGTTTAAACAGAAGACACATGTACCAGAATAACACAGTATGTATAGATTCATTGTCTTCTAGTTTACCTATTGTGTGCCTTTTTAACAAGAAAATAACTGACCTAGAAAGCAGTTTTATTTTTATTGTCAGCCTAAGGGAAGATGAGTATGATTCAAGTATCTGAAAATGAGACCATGGAGGGTGTTTCCTGCCTTGAGTTGCAGTTTCAGAGTCTGTGCTACTTACCGCAGATTCCCAGTGTGCGAATGAAGCTGGCGCCTGCCTCTCTGAGTCTAGCCAGCCTTTACCCTGTGAAGGAAAAGAGAAAGCTGTGTTGGTGCTCACGTGAGCAGGAGTATTAAATATATATAGATGGAGAATGACGCTTTTCTATTAA